CGCACTCAGCCAGTGAGTGGGAACCGGTCTCCACATGGGATCCGAACCCTTGGCGGGAGCGCCGCTGCACTCCCAAGCGGCGCACTCTCCAGTGCGCCACCGGGCCGGCCCTTTCTCATTCATTTCTAAGTGATTACCTGAAATAGGAGAAGAATGCAATACAATATGTAAGAAAATTTAAAAACATGACAAGTCTTCTTGAACTAGAAACACACAACTGTACACTAAGAAAAACTACACACAGAATCACTGACATAAATTTATAGAAGCAAAATGTACAAATTATGAAAATCTGCAATTTCTGTTCTTGTTCTTTGCATGCCTTTTTATTGGCTCTTCATCAATGTCCCACTAACTTCTGAAGGCTTTCTTCCCTCAGACACTTAAGGATGTCACCGCAGGTGCTGGCTCACCACAGGTGCTGGTTAGAAGCCCAGGTCACCAGGGATTGAACCTCATCACCAGGAAACATGCCCTTTAGGTTTTTACAAAAATATTTCCAATGGAACAAAGTTACTGTCTTTATAAGCACCAACACCTCCTCCCCCTATATAGGCAGTGTATACAGAAATCTGTATAATATGAAAAGAACAAGCAAATAAAAGTAGCAAGAATTGACACTACAAAGGATTAGACACAAGAAACAGGGAAGAGTCCTGGAAACACCCCATTTCACTGGCTTGGGTCACTGCCTGGAGGGTAGTGATACTACATGTAAGAGAAAAAAATAGATGTCATTTCCATTTTGGATTCATTGACCTTAAGGTAAGCAGTCAAAAGCGAGCTCAACCTATGATCCAAGGAAAAGGGAAGAAATAGAAAAGGAAAAAAGCTAAATAGAACCAAGATAGCAAACTAAAGAGGACTTAATCAGTCAAGAAGAAGAGCATAGTGAGAAGAATAGCACCCAGAATGAAGCACTTGGATGAGCTATGTTAAGAAGAAAGAAGAATTCTGAAGAAAAGAGAGAAAACCATCAGTAAGGGGATGAGAGAAACAAACTAACTGACACAGAATTTCCAGGGGAAGATCATGTACAGCAGTGTCAAATGGGGCAGAAGCTTCAAGTGAGAAAAAGACTACAGAATAGGCACCGGATTTCACTGTAATTTATGTGATAATTCCACATTTTATCCACGAATGAAGTACAGTCTTCCAAACCTGTACACAATCCATAGGACATGTGAGTGAAGCCACCTTGAACCAACAGCCTCATTCACGGCACCAGGTGACAAAAGCTGCATCTGCCATCCAGGCAATGCTAGCATGAGAACTGCCCAGCTGACTACACCCAACTTGTGGATCCACAGAACTTCAAGAAAATAAAGTGGTCTGATATTTTAAACCATTGCGTTTTGATTTGTTCTTACACAGCAAATGCTAAATGATACATGTAAGACCCCAGAACTCAGTATGTTTTAACAAAATTATGTGGGTGAGAAAGCCTTAAATTACATGAATCCCTACAGACTGCTTATTCAGCAACATGTGCCTTAGCATTCACTGAACATTTCCACTCTGGAAAGCTATGCATTTATTTCCAGGTTGACAGTGAAAAACTTTCTAATAGAGATGGTATTTCCGAACTTATTGCCAATAAATGCTCATATCCCATGAGAATTTGACATATTCTCTTGTCAGGTTTCGTTCCAATCATACAAAAAAAGTGTCTGCCTTTTTGACATGACAGCTGAAAGACCAGAGACAAATTTCTACTCAACTTAGATGACTCTGAAGTGTTATATCTTCTATATCTATATCCAAAGGTTACCGTACATATGTACATTTCCTTCAAGCTGAGGTTTACTCATTTCTTTTCTTTTCTTTTTCTTTTTTAAAAGATCCCCAGTGTTGTCAGCACCTGTATGCTCGACCAGTGAGCTAAGCGGCTATCCCTTTACAGGATCCAAACCTGGGGCCTTGGTGTTATCAGCACTGCACATTCCTGAGTGAGCAACAGGCTGGCCATACTCATTTCTACTTTTCCATTTTCATTCATGCTCCCCATAATACCCAGGTAATACAGTGAAAAAAAAATAAGGAATAAATAAAGAAACAACTCACCGGAGACTTATACATCTTTTCTTGCTCTTGGAAAAGCATAGCGCACTCTGGCAGCATAGCTGGGAGAGGACGGAATGGAGTGGATTAAGCAGAGAACTGTTGTGGCTTGACCCTGGATTCTTCTGCCCAAAACTCTCTACACATTAGTTGGAAAAGACGAACAAACAAACAAACAAAAAGTCTCCCTGTGAGACAACAATCCTTTATTACAATAAGGCACAACAAAGACCCATTAAACATGCATCTGCAAGTACATTAATTAGTTAAACATTAGACACATAATTTATTTTTGGGTTAATAAAAACATACATTACCTACTGATTTAGCAAGAATCAACCTTACCTAAACATACAACTTAATCATTGAAACAAAGAAAAACACATTGTGTCATTACTAAAACTAATGCTATAGAAATAGAGTTAGGCTATATTAACTATTTTCATATTAATACAATGACTCCACACACGACTCCAGATAAGTGTCTCCACTACAACACATCTCATTTATATATACCTAGATATCTGTATAGTACACATTTGGCAACCCAACATCTTTTGGCCATGATTACATAGGTAAAAAATGTACATTATATATATCTCTTTTGGTACACTATTCCAGTAACGTTACCCAGTGATGGATCTCCCTACACCAAAACCCTCATGTATTATGCTCTGACAACGAACTGAGCTTTGCTATGTGACTTGCTTGGGCCAACAGCAGATTAACAAATGTCATGCAAACATAAGTTTGATAAATACTGGCCACTGGTGCTTGCCTTCTTAAACATAATCACAGTGTGAAGAAGCCTGGGGCTAAACTTTTGGAGACAGAGGCCCAAGCCAAGAGTCAGCACAAACCACTGGATATATGAATGAAGCCATCTTGAACCAACCAGCTTCAGTCAAGGCACCAGGTGACTAAAGCTGAACTACCCAGCTAGCCACACCCAAAATGTGAATTCCTAGAACTTCAAGAAAATAAAACGGCTGGGTTTTTAAAGGCATTTTGGTTTTGATTTGTTCCTTACGTGGCAAATACTAAGTGATACACCTAAGCCCCCAGAACTCAATATGTTTTCAACAAGATTATGTGGAGAAGAAAACGTTAAATTACATGTTAAATACAATCAATATACCTTCACAACCACAGGGAGAAGTGTTGGAAATTACAATGAATGTCAACTAAGAGGACTTCATTGAGGTTCCTGGCACTAATGCAGGTCATGTGAACCATAAAAAGCAATTGTTTGCACACTATAGTAAACTATAGTGTAAGATTTTTTTGATTTTTTTTAATGTCATGTATAAATTGTTTACTTTAAAAACAAAAAAGTGTCTGTTTCTTATAAGTTACTAGTGAACTGTATCAGGGTACTTCAAAAGTTCATGGAAAAATATAGTGAAAAGAAAACATGGATCTCTCCATGAAGTGTTTGAGGAACACTAGTATTCTAAGTTTCCCATTTAAGTAATGTAAAATTGGCTCCTATATACATCGGCAAAATTTGTGATTTTCACGAACAGAATACTGACATTAAGGGAAGTACTTATGTTATTTACTCTTTGTGGTAAAACTGACATTAAGGGAAGTACTTATGTTATTTACTCTTTGTGGTAAAATGATCCACGGAAAGCACTGGAGATCAAAAAAGGATAGGGACGTTTAAGGCAATGTATGTCAAAGCATACCTTGTTCTAAGTTGTCTTCAGCATTACAGAAGTAATCTCAACATTAAACAAACAGTTGTTTTGATGGAAGTGTGGCAAAATGGAGAACAATAGGCAAAAAGTCAGGATGTCTAACATCAACAAATCATGTGCCCCTCGGCAACTCACATTTCCTCATATCCAATTATTTTCAGTTTTCTTCCAAGAGAGAAAGAACTGGCAAAATAATCCTGAACTACCAGAAAGAAACTGTGAAGATATAACACCATCAGCATATCTCTAGATGCCAAAATTGGTGATAGGCTGGGTTTGAGAGAGCTCAGACAGTAGGAACAATGAGGGAAGATTGAAGGAACGGGAGTGCGTTCAGAGAGCACTGCAGACAGATCCTTTCGGCTGTGACAGGTTATTCCTGCACCCCACGGAACACCTTCAAACCCCTTCAGTGAGTTAACATTTCCTAGGTCTTTGCCTATTCTCAAACTCACTCTCCCTTTTGAAAGTTGGCCCAAACCTTCCAATATCACCCAGTCTCAGGTAGCTCCTGAATGAGGTATTATGGCTAAATCTTGTGCACTATACGCACGGACTGAATAACTGCGTGGGCTGTGAAAGCTGCCCCTTTCTGGGACTCCTTTGCTCTGACGCAGTCCTGAGAGGGTTCAGGCCACAGTGATGTTCTCGCAGGTGGGATTCTTATTCACATTCATAGGGCGCCCGCCTTCAAACTCTGTCACAGCTCCTGTACCCCAAATAAAACCAGAATGTCATCCTATGCCGCAGGATCCCTCCTAGAAGTCACTGTCCCTGACAACTGGGTCTTATACCAAAGTCTGTAAACTCAGGNCTTCTTAAACATAATCACAGTGTGAAGAAGCCTGGGGCTAAACTTTTGGAGACAGAGGCCCAAGCCAAGAGTCAGCACAAACCACTGGATATATGAATGAAGCCATCTTGAACCAACCAGCTTCAGTCAAGGCACCAGGTGACTAAAGCTGAACTACCCAGCTAGCCACACCCAAAATGTGAATTCCTAGAACTTCAAGAAAATAAAACGGCTGGGTTTTTAAAGGCATTTTGGTTTTGATTTGTTCCTTACGTGGCAAATACTAAGTGATACACCTAAGCCCCCAGAACTCAATATGTTTTCAACAAGATTATGTGGAGAAAACGTTAAATTACATGTTAAATACAATCAATATACCTTCACAACCACAGGGAGAAGTGTTGGAAATTACAATGAATGTCAACTAAGAGGACTTCATTGAGGTTCCTGGCACTAATGCAGGTCATGTGAACCATAAAAAGCAATTGTTTGCACACTATAGTAAACTATAGTGTAAGATTTTTTTGATTTTTTTTAATGTCATGTATAAATTGTTTACTTTAAAAACAAAAAAGTGTCTGTTTCTTATAAGTTACTAGTGAACTGTATCAGGGTACTTCAAAAGTTCATGGAAAAATATAATTAAAAGAAAACATGGATCTCTCCATCGTAATAACTTCGTATAGCATACATTATACGAAGTTATACGATGCATCAATTAGTTTTATCCTTCACATCAAAACACTAAACACAAAGAAATTAGATGGTCATATCAACAGATTCAGAAAATGTCTTTGACAAAATGCAGCACCCATCCATCATATAAACTCTCCTTCACAATTTGATAAAGACTATCTACAAGAAACTGTAGTTAACATTATTATTCCTGGCAAAATACTCAAAGCTTTTCCAGAAAATCAGGAACAAGGCAAAAATGGGCCATCTCATTACTCACAACATTACACTAAAAGTACTTCACACTGCAATAACAGAAGAAAATGAAATGAAAGATTACAGGCTAGGAAAAATAAATCAGTAAAACTGTCTTTGGTTGCTGGTGATATGAGTATCTGTGTAAAAAATTCTAGTAAACAAATGAAAAAAACTCCTGGAATTAATAAGTGACTGTAGCAGGATTGCAAGACACAAGATTAATAAACAAAATTTTATCACATTTCAACACACTAGTAATGACCAAATAAAATCTTAAACAAAAAACACAATACTATTTGTCAGAACCTCAAAATATAAAACAGTTGCAAATCACCTATGTCATAAGAAATTAACATCAAGAATACATAATGAAAGAAACCTTCCACAGCTATACAACAACAAAACAAATAACCTGTTTAATAAACAAGCAAAGGAG